AAAAAAATTAATCGCCATATTAAAAAATATTAATCGTGATTAATCGCACTGCTAAACGATAATAGAATACCATTTATTTAAATATTTTTGGATGTTTTCTACATTTTTCAAATATACTGATTTCAATTACAACACAGAATATAAAGTGTACAGTGCTCATTTTATATTTATTTTTTATTACAAGTATTTGCACCGTAAGAAAAACTAAAGAAATTGTATTTTTCAATTCATTTAATACAAGTACTATAGTGCAATCTCTTTATCAAGAAAGTTGAACTTACAAATGTAGAATTATGTACAAAAAAAACCCCTGCATTCAAAAATAGAACAATATAAAATTTTAGAGCCTGCATGTCCACTCAATTCTACTTCAGCCAATTGCTCAGACAAACAAGTATGGTTACAATTTGCAGGAGATAATGCTGCCCACTTCTTGTTTACAGTGTCACTTGAAAGTGAGAACAGATGTTCACATGGCACTGTTGTAGCCGTTGCCGCAAGATATTTACATGCCAGATGCGCTAAATTCATATGTCCCTTCATGCTTCAACCACCATTTCAGAGGACATGTGTCCATGCTGATGACGGGTTCTGTTCGATAACGATCCAAAACAGTGCAGACCAACGCATGTTCATTTTCATCATCTGAGTCAGATGCCACCAGCAGAAGGTTGATTTTCTTTTTTTGGTGGTTTGGGTTCTGTAGTTTCCGCATCTGAGTGTTGCTCTTTTAAGTCTTCTGAAAGCATGCTCCACACCTCGTCCCTCTCAGATTTTGGACGGCCCTTCAGATTCTTAAACCTTGGGTCAAGTGCTATAGCTAGTTTTAGAAATCTCATTGGTGCCTTATTTGCATTTTATCAAATCTGCTGTGAAAGTGTTCTTAAAATAAACATGTGCTGGGTCATCATCCGAGACTGCTATGACATGAAATATATAGCAGAATGCGGGTAAAACAGAACAGAAGACGTACAATTCTCCCCCAAGTAGTTCAGTCACAAACGTAATTAGCACATTATTTTTTTAACGAGCATCATCAGCATGGAAGCATGTCCTCTGGAATGGTGGCTGAAGAATGAAGGGGCATACGAATGTTTAGCATATCTGGCACGTAAAGACCTTGCAACGCTGGCTTTAGAATTAAAGAGTTGGAAGAAAATTTTCAGAAATAGAAGAAAATGGTAAGGAAGGGATCCGGTGTTCTCTAGGATGCCAGAAAGGCAGTAATAAGGAGGATCCTTGTAAATAAAGAATCATACCTCAATAAAATGAGAGCACTCGAAGAAGAGAGTTTGATTAAGGAACTTACTGTTTTAGAAAGTAGACATAAATCAACAGGATCTAAAAGTGTATAAGAAAATAATTGAGATGAGGGAAGATTAACCTGCTCCAAACAAAAGGGCGAGCAAATACTTAAATATATTAAGGGCAATACAGCTGATAGGCTTTTAGCCAGAAAGTTAAAGAAACAAGAAAAGTCAGCCATCCCTCTGATTAAAAATAAAAAGGGGGATTTAGTAACCAGCATCAAACAGATCTTTGAAATATGTGCTAACTTTTTCCATACTTTGTACACTTCTGAACATCCAAATCTTGAATTTATAAATAGATATTTGAGACGTGTGAAACTACGTCAGCTTTCAGAGGATGATGTGGCAGCTCTTGATAGGGTAATTGCTTCAGAGGAAGTTGAATTTATCATGAAGAGTTTAAAATCCCCAAAAACCCAGGTTCTAATGTTTTTTTGGGAGAGAATATTATAGAGCTCTAAAATAAGAGGTGTTCCCTATTTTAACTGAATTGCTTAATAGTATACTGCCGGAGAACAAGATTCCAGGTAACTAGATATAAATAGTTCACAATCAAGCTGGAAGGGCATATCGAGTTGGGTCCTGCAGGGATCTGTCCTGGGTCTGGTTCTATTCAATATCCTCATAAATGATTGGATAATGGCATAGAGAGTACTTATAAAGTTTGGAGATGATACCAATCTGGGAGGGGTGACAAGTGCTTTGGAGTACAGAATTAGAACTCAAAATGATGTTGACAAACTGGAGCAATGGTCTGAAATAAATAGGATGAAATTCAATAAAGATGAGCAAAGAACTACACTTAGGAAGCAATAATCAGTTGCACAAATATAAAATAGGAAATGACTGTGTAGGAAGGAGTACGGAAGAAAAGAATGTGGCGGTTATAGTGGATCGCAGACTAAGTGAGTCGTGAATGTAATACTGTTTCAAAAAAGGGAACATCATTATGGGCAGTATTAGCAGGAGTGTTATAAGCAAGACATGAGAATGTGGCGGTTATAGTGGATCGCAGACTAAGTGAGTCGTGAATGTAATACTGTTTCAAAAAAGGGAACATCATTATGGGCAGTATTAGCAGGAGTGTTATAAGCAAGACATGAGAAGTAATTCTTCTACTCTACTCAGCACTGATAAGACCTCAGCTGGAGTACTGTGTCCAATTCTGGGCACCACAATCTTGGTTGAAAAAGATCTTGATAAGAAAACAACCCAGATGAAAAGATGGGAGAGGGGTTTAGACAAAGACATTGAACTAGTTGAGTTGGGTCTTTATGTGGGAAAGGGGATATACATCTTCAATTTATGTAGTTCTGTAGCGGGGTGGTTACCCTGCTCCTGTCCTGAGGGGTTTAAAACAGCCCTGGAGGTGGGCTGTGGAAGGGCAAGATGCCTGGGCTGATTGGGAGGAAGCAGGCTCAGCTGGGGCCACGCCCCAATCAGGGCCCAGCTGGCCCTATAAAGGCTTGAGCCAGGAGCTCAAGTAGACAGTCTCTCTTTGTGTTCAGAGAGAGAGAGAGAAGGGCCTGGCTACAGGGAGCTTAACTAAGTGCCTAGAGTGGAGCAGGGCTGGGGAAAGGCCAAGGGAGCTGGGGAGCTCCATCCTAGTAAAGTCCCAGGCTGCAGGCCTGGTAAGGCCTATTAGGTACTGGATTGTAGGGGGCAGCCCATGGGTAGGCAGAGGCAGCAGGTCCGAACCCCTTTGCCTGTGATGAGTGGCTGATACTGCAGTCTGCCCCAGTGAACGGGGGCTAGACGGAGACTGGGCAGTAGCCAAAACTGAGGTAAAGTGGGGATAGTGGGTGGGGGTTCCCCTGGGAGGGGGAGACCCAGAACTGTGGGGGTACTGCCAGGGGGCAGCACCCCAGGTAAAAGGGCACTGGGGGCCAGGGAGGGACACGGGGGGCCAGAGAACAGGCGGATCACCAGCCTGCAGGAGGCGCTCTGGACGCTGGAAGAGCTAATTCCCAGAAGTCACCAGCAGGAGGTGCCGCAGGGGTGAGTCCGCACCTCTACAAGCTCATAAAGAATTTTTTAAATAAATAACTGGAGTTAAATGACATCTATACAATAAAGATCTATCATATTTTTGTTACTAAGGAGATGCTCTGTTGGAGGAGTTGCAGGGGAAGGAGAACATACTTGTTCATGTGGTGGCTGTGTCCAGGAATTAGATGGTTGGGGCAAAAATTATTAGAGATTCATTTGATGACAACCTTAATTCATAGACTTTAAGGCCAGAAGGGGCCATCATGATCAGCTAGTCTGACCTCCTGCACATCACAGGCCACAGAATCTCACCCACCCACTCCTGTAATAGGCCCATAACTTCTGGCTGAGTTACTGAAGTCCTCAAATCTTGATTTAAATACTTCAATTCACAGAGAATCCACCACTTACACTACAGTAACTCCTCGCTTAACGTTGTAGTTATGTTCCTGAAAAATACTACTTTAAGCAAAGCGATGTTAAGCAAATCCAATTTCCCCATAAGAATTAATGTAAATGGGGGGGGGGGGGGTTAGGGTTCCAGGGAAATTTTTTTTGTCCAGACAAGACTATTTTTTTAATTATATATATACAGTCTCTCTCTCTCTCTCTAAGTTTTAAACAAACAATTTAATCCTGTACACAGCAATGATGATGATTATGAAGTTTGGTTGAGGTGGTGAAGTCAGAGGGTGGAAGAGGATGGGATATTTCCCAGGAAATGCCTTACTGCTAAATGATGAACTAGCACTCGGCTGAGCCCTCAAGGGTGTTAACACATTGTTGTTAATTTAGCCTCACACTCTACAAGGCAGCACAAATGGAGGGGGGAAGGCAGCATGGCAGAGAGAGACAGACACACACACCCTGTGTGTGAGAGACGCGCATTGCCCCTTTAAGTATGCTGACCCCACTCTAAGTACCTTGCCTTTTTAAGTAGATTAGCAAGTTGAGACAGCAGCTGCTGCCAGCAAGCTCCCGCCGTCCTGAGCCCCATCCTGTTCCGCCCCCTGCCCTGTGGATGGGGTAAGCGGGGGGCAGGAGCAGGAGGGAGGGGGACACCCTGACATTAGCACCCCTCTTTTCCCCCTCCCCCCGCACAGCAAGCAGGAGGCTCCCAGGAGCAGCTCCAAGGCAGAGGGCAGGAGCAGCACAGGGCAGTGTGGGGAGGGACAGCTGAACTGCCGGCAATTGATAGCCTGCTGGGTGACTGCTGTACAGGGAACAGGGAGCTGATGGGGGGGCGGGCTGCCCGTCCACCCTGGTTCCAAGCCCCCACCAGCTAGCTGCAACGGGCTGCTCTTCCTGCAAGCAGTGGACAAAGCAGGCAGCTGCCAAACAATGTTATAAGGGAGCATCGCACAACTTTAAACGAGCATGTTCCCTAATTGATCAGCAACGTTACAACGAAACAACGTTAACCGGGACGACTTTAAGTGAGGAGTTACTGTAGTTAAAAACAGCAAGTGACCTATGCTCCACTTTGCAAGGAAGGTGAAAAACTCCCAGAGTCTCTGCCAATCTGGCCTGAGGGAAAATTCCTTCCCAACCCCAGAGATGGTGATCAGTTTAGGGTGACCAAATGGCAAGTGTGAAAAATCAGGACACCTTTTTCCAGGGGGGTGGAGGTGGGGGTTGTTAATAGTTGCATATATAAGATTGAAAAAAATAAATAAAACTAGAACATGCATATAGGCCTACCTTGTACTACAGATTGCACAGCTCTCAGTTTTCAGCACCAGCAGTCTCATACTTCTTGGATGACTTGGCCATGCACATAACATCCTTTCTGCCGATTACATAAGTGTAGAACTCCTTCCAGCTTGTACTGAAATTCATTTTTACTTGCATTTCGGACCTCACCAGCTCAATCCTGCTTCGATTCTTCACATCAGTCCATGCATCCTTTGTCACTGAAAATACGTGCTCTGTATCAGCATGGCAGGCTGGTATACTGAGCATGAAGGAAACCAGCTTCTTCATGTTAGGAAGATTAGCACCGTCTCCCTTACTGCTGAGCACCTGAGCCCAACTCCTTCTCTTGGCTGATATTAAAGCACTGAATGTTGTACAAATAGCCGCTAGTGGAAAAGTCAAACTATTTCTCCAGATATTTGACCGAAACATCATAAAGTTTGGTAAAGGCCTTGCGAAGGACTAAATACAAAGATGTCATTCCAATGAACGCATTCTCAACTTTAGCAGCGAAGAATGGGTCATTTTTTTGTTGCTGTAGCTTCATTCACAGACCGTTTATTAAGACATACACTGCCCACAGAGTCACACTAGCCTTCTCCAGGCAGAGCATTGCTGAACACTTTAAGTACATTTTGTAGAAAATAAAGGTGAACTTCAACACTGCTTGTTTCCTGACCTTCTTCACCTGGCTCACTCTCGGCAAACACAGGCCACAAACTCCATGGACAGTTGTCTCTGCCCAGAGAAACAAAGCAGCTCTTGACTGCTTGCCAAGTGCTAACCAGTCTGTTCACAGATAGGAAAGACTCAACCAATGTGTTGGGACATGACGTAGTAAAGCAGCTTACTCAATGTCCATAAACTCAAACATGTCTTTCAGCACAGCCACTCTCTTAGTAGAACTGCTGAAGTGATTAAATGTCTTAATCACCAATGACTCATTGTCCACTTTTAGAGCCACTGCATTATGCACAATGTGGGCTGGGCAGTTGGCAGGTAAAATATTTTCATTCTTCTTTTTCAGGTTCTGGTATACAGATTTCTGCCTACCATCAGGTGCACTGGGACCAGAGGAGGTTGGGGGAGCCAGGGCACCCTGGCCCCATCACTTTTTTCCAGCCATAAGGGCAAGCAACGTGGGGGAGGAGATGGGGTGAAGAGGAGCGAGTGGGGGGGGTGAGGTCTTGGGTGAAAGGGGCAGGGCAGGGGCAGGGCCATGGTTCAGGTGCCAGTGCCCCCCCCCACACACACACTTTTAGAGAGCTTCCATCGCTCCTGCCTGCCATAATTAACATTTGGATTGTCAGCACAAAAGGAAGAGACTTAAGCTAAGTCGAGTTTGTGAATTACAAGTTTTTGAAGGAGAGTGTGTTGGTTATTGACCTGAAGTCTCCTCACTTTCTTCATAAAAGTCTAACAGTTTATCTTGTATTCCTAGTTCAGGTGTCCAATATCTCAGGGACAAGGGAAAGGTTTTATGTTACCTTTGTCTGATGCATCCATGGCGATTGAGAAGTAGGGTCTGTCTTGACTGTGAAGAATATCAGCAAATTCAGTTAACAGCGGCGATAATACATCTTTAATCAGGGCTTTGGCTTTTCTACGGCCACAACAATCATTGAATCTAGATACCAGCTGCAAGCTTCAATTCACAGTCACAGGACCAATACAACTGTTGCTGCACTACTGTGTGATACACTTGGGTCAGCTCTGCAGCAACAACATGAGTCTCCAATGTCTCATTGTGCTTGCTGAAGAAGTTTGAGACCAGGATATTTTTCTTTTGCAATTTGGCAGCTTTGCACATGTTGTTTCCTACTGGCATGATGCTTCGCATCCAACTCACCGCTGGGCCTGATGCTGAATTCTTTTTTCACACAATTTACAAAATGCCTTTGTAATCCAGTTGTAATTTTTTTCCCCACTCCGTTCAGTACTTGCATTGTCTTTTTAGCTCTTTTGTGACGGGTTCATCAGCAACACTAACCATCATGACACTTTGCGACAAAGTCTTCGCCAGTGAAACCGCGTGGAAGCACACACATACGCACCAAAACACGTGATTAGATAGCCGCATAGACGCGTTGCCACGGTAACTCAAACAAACACACAGGGTTGGCATTAGGGGGTAGCAAGCAGAGCAATTGTTAATAACAGTCACAGATGGGACATATGCCATCATAGGCAATCTCATCATTACATCCCCTTCAAAAATGTATCAAGCTCAGACTTGAATCAAGGTAGATTTCCTCCCCATTCCTTCCCTTGGGAGGCTGTTCCAGAACTTCTCTCCTCTGGGTTAAAAACCTTTGTCTTAATTTCCAAGCCTAAACTTGTTGATGTTCATTCTATAACCGTTTGTGCTCGTGACAACATTGGCCCTTAACTTAAATAACTCCTCTCCCTCCCTGCTGTTTCAGTTCCCCTTGTGTATATGCTTTGTGATACAGTCTTTAAGTACCTGATGACATGCTATTTTTTATACAGGACTCCAGCCTTATTTAGCTTACAGTTAAACTTACAATTATGAACTGGAAAATTTTCTCTCGCATAAGGAAAAGTGAAACTATATTTTTCTTCATCACAAAACAATACATATTACTAGAGCTGGGTGAAATATTCATCACGAAAGTGTCCACATTCATGAAACTTCTGTGAAATTGTAAAAAAAAACCCAACCTTTTTCTTTTTTAAATTAATGTTTGTGTAAAATATTTTAAGCTCTCTGGAAATTTGGGGGGAAAAAACAATAAAACCATCTTAGCATGAACATTTTTTGTATTTGAGAATTTTGAACAAGTTGCTGATGAGCTCCAGGGATCCAGAGACTGGGGGCTAGGAGTTCTTTTCCCACCTTTACATTTATTTAGATAGGCCTCACAACATCCTCATAGAGCAGGTAAATACTATTTCCCCATTTTACAGATTAGTAAACTGAGGCTGAGAGAGGTCAATTGCCTTGCTGGAGGCCACACTTTGGGAACACATTTTGTTCCTCTGAGACTTTGTAGGTCATGCGATCCCTCACATCCATGGGAGGATTATCTTCAAGGTAAGGGCTATTTTGGGGGCAGTGGGTTAGTTTCATTAGAATGAACTTTAATATCCTTGTCAGCTTCAGCAATTTATTCTGCAGGGGGTTGTGCAAACATTTAAATCGATTTGCAATCCAGTTTGGGTCACTCCTGTCCTGTCCCTGCCCCAGATTTCAAGTTTAAATGAAAGCACAATCTCCAAGCACAAACGCTTACGTTTCACAAGGTTTCAAGTAACAAACAAACACGAACTTTGCACCATTTCAACACAAAACATCAGCCCAGTTGTGAGGATGTGTCTCATCTCTTTAAATACATAGCGGGAAGTCAGGCTGAAGGAGTTGGAGGAGGTTCTGGGTAGAAACGGTTGAAGAAGAGAAACAGAGCAGCTTTAGGTTCAGAACCTTATTCTAGTAAAGTTCCTTGTTTTCCAGAAGAAAGTGACTTTTTCTGTGATCCCTTCCCATTGTCACATGACACCAAGTTCGCTCAAATGATTCACAAACTTTAGCAAAGTTATCAATGAACTTGTTCAAGTTTGTAACAAAATCTAAAGTCAGGTAAGCTTTTTGTAGTTTTAATTGTCATTCTCACAATTTTTCACTGATTCAATGTCATGAGATTTTTAAGGTAAATACTAGAGAAGGGTGTGAGCTACAAAACTGACATCTAACTCTATAACTAAATTATCCCAAAGTCTGGGAGTTGTTCAGATCTGGGCCCATTTCTAATTGGTGTAATTAATACACATAAGGGGAAATATGAATTCAGTATTCCTTGGGCAAAACAAGGGGGCCCAATCCTGCTAACATTGACTTCAAGAGAAATTTTTGCCAAAGTTACCAGATCATCCTGTAGAGGAGAGACCACAATATTGATGCAAAAATGGTATTAATATAATTACTATACCTTATTTGATTAGGTCCTTACAAATGTCTTTGGACCTTTGCTAAATGATAAGCTATAGCTACAATTACGTTGTAGCTAGGATGCTTGGAAATATAACAATACATGTATTTAGCTAGTTATATTACAAAATGTGAAAGCTAATCAAAGAAATCCCAGAAGGTTTCTGCTTCTATCTCCCAAGGACATGCATGCATCAAGCAGATAAACAATGTTAAACATTCATGTTTTAGGAAGAGGTCTGATTGGGAAAAGAATGTAGGGTGTGTTATCAGAGCAATAAATAATAAAGCGGTCTTTACTGATCTTCACCATCTTGCAAGAAAAGCTGCTAGTGTTCTTCAGAGATGTTTTCAACTTTTGTTTATTTCTTAAATGTTGAAACGGCAAAAACTTTTGAGAAGTGCTGACTTGCAAATATGCTAGCTAAATGCAAAGCTCCTAATGTCGTTGCTCTGTAAGTGGTAACAGTTTAGGTACCAACATGAAATATAATGACCTGGCTAAATTAGTGTAAGTAGCCATTTAAATAAAGAATATGTATATTAATGGGCAATTAATTAATTATGGGCCATAGACAGACAAAACCTCACCAACTCAGGACGACAAGAAAAATCTTTTCAAAAACTGTCGTGTAGAATCAACAGCTTACGCTAAAGACTTTCTAAAAGTTATTTAATGTTAAAAGACTGTTCTGATAACTAGTAGCTTTTATTTTGAAACTTTGACTTAAAAGTTACAATAAAATATTAACATATTACATCATACATTACTTATTAAGGATCAAGTTAATATTCAAAGAACCTGGCTAAAGATTCTGGCTTGCTAGCTGGGGAGCCCTGCTCCTCTGAGTACACTAAAAAAGATGAGCACATTTCTAAATACCTATCCTCTTTTTGGTGCTTCTTTTGTGTACCTACTTGTAATGAAGAAGTTTTGGACAGTCCATATTTTACTATACCACATTCCCCAGGAGGGGAAATCTCACTTTCCAATAACATGCCATACGAAGTCTTGCAGCTAACAATAAAAAAACATAATTTGTCATGCTGTTTAAAATGTAGATCCTTTTACTGGTGCATTAAGAAAGGAGATCAGTGTAAATGGTGGATTCTCTGTGAATTGAAGTATTTAAATCAAGATTTGAAGACTTCAGTAACTCAGCCAGAAGTTATGGGCCTATTACAGGAGTGGGTGGGTGAAATTCTGTGGCCTGTGATGTGCAGGAGGTCAGACTAGCTGATTGTGAAGGCCCCTTCTGGCCTTAAAGTCTATGAATTAAGGTTGCACGGGCATTTCCTAACGTTTGAGTGCTTGATTTTGGCTTTCTGCTATCGTGGGGGTGGCGGGTTTGGTTTTTGTATGTACTGTAATAGAGAAAAACATTGTAACAAAGTGAGTTGTGTATGGTTATCCCTGCCCTCTGCTGGATGGAATCAGAACTGGTCAAATATCACAGCCTGGCCTTCTCTAGTGCACAAAAATAATGGCAATTCTCCATTAGCTCAAGGAGTCAGGGCTCTTATAGCAAAAGGATCTGCGTTCTAGCCTTGGTGTGTCTCATGTTCTGAGCAACCATAGCATTGTGACATCTGTATAGTTCTAGGTGGCCATGGAGTTGTTAGAATACTTAACATCCCTGTGAGAAAGGCAAGTGTGAGGGTTAAGTGGTCAGCAGTATAGCACTTTACAATTTCAAAATGCTTTTAAAAACATTATATTGAGTTGTTTAGTTAATGCACTGTGGTGGTAAAATGATGCAAAGGATTCTGGTGTATGGAGATTACAGGAGAGGCTTTACAGGGGCTGCTCTCTGAACACAGTCAAGAGAAGCCTGTACTTCTGTCTCATCCTTGTAGTGCTGAGAATACGTAAGTGAGGAGCTGGGTGTGTATGTGAGAAAAAGTTGCCTTAAGTGCAGTTCCTCTTCAGCATGGACAGGAGCAAATACTGTTAGAACCACATGTAGGGTTGCCAGGTGTCCGGATTTCAACCGGAACACCCAAACAGGGATCCTGGTGGCTCCAGTCAGCACTGCTGACCGGGCTGTTAAAAGTCTGTGGGGTGTGGGGCTGGCAGGCTACCTACCTGGCTCTAGTGGCTTCAGAAGCGGTGACAAGTTCCTTGGCTCCTTGGTGGAGCGGTGGTCATAGGGGCTCCATGAGCTGCTCCCACCCCGAGCGCCGGCTCAGCGGCTCCCACTGGCTGGGAACTGCGGCTAATGGGAGCTGCAGGGGCAGCGCGCAGAGCCACCTGGCTGCCCATCTGGCTAGGAACTGAGGGACATGTGGCTGCTTCCTGGGAGCCCCACGAGGTAAGCGCTGTCCGGCGCCCACACCCCCTTCCGTCCCCCAACCCCCTGTTCCAGGGAAGGTTGGGGCAAGGGTGTTCGTTTTTTTGGAATTAAAAAGTTGGCAACCCTAACCACATGACTTTTTAAGCATAGTTCTAACATGTTTTCACTTTGAACACACTGGCTGACCAAACTGTGTTAGGGTTTTCTCTCTACCCCGTGAATGCAACCATGTTTAGAGATCTGTAATGGGTCCCCCAACATGGCTGTATTTGTAGGGTAAATAAACCCTCATAAAACAGGCTGGATCCATGTTTAAACTAAACTTAACTCAAGTTTTTACTATGTTTTAAATGTAATCCTTTAACAGAGTTTGAGCCCCTATCTGTATCAGGCCATAATTTTTCCTCTCCTGTCTAGGGTTACCATATTTAAAAAATAAAAAAAGAGGACACGCCACGGGGCCCTGGCCCCGCCCCTTTCCCACCCCCTTCCCCGCCCCAACTCCGCCCCTTCTCCGCTCCTTCCCCAAAGTCCCCGCCCTAACTCTGCCCCCTCCCCTGAGCGCCCCGCATTCCCCCTCCTCCCTCCCAGCCACGCGAAAAGGGCTGCCCGAGCGCTACCGTTTTCACGGTTTGCCAGGCAGCCCCCAGACCCTGCGCCCCCAGCCAGCGCTTCCCCAGCACAGCTGGAGCCCGGGAGGGGAAGTGCCCAGCCGGGGGCGCAGGGTCTGGGGGCTGCCCGG